CACTGCTCCAAGGTCTTCTCCAGTGACCCTGTCCCACTGTGACAACGCTTATGGTTGACAGGACTCTGCCATTCCATCATCTGGCCACAGGGAGGTGGGTACCGGAAGGGCGCAAGCTCTGGGGGCTCTGACAGCATCAGGCCTGCCCCCACATACACACACTGCACCATTAACTCCACTTGGATTGTTTTCACTTGGATTACGTTTAAATGTAAAAAAAAAAAAAGGAAACCATATGAGTGTCACAAGAAATTATAGATGAATATTTATACAATTTGGGGTGGGAGACCCAGGCACACCACCAAGCGCAGAAACCACAGAGTGACAAATTAACCTCAGAAAAGCTGATTTTTGTGTGTCTGAAATACAAACAAAAAGGCAGTATACAAACTGGGGGAAATATTTGCATCAATAACAGGATTATTAACATCCTTAATATGTAATTGTTTTTACTAAACACCAATAAAAAATGAGTAATGGAAAAGTAGAAAGTCACACACACACACACACACAAAACTGCGAATGGCCAATGGACACGACGCGCAGAGGTTCAGTCTCACTGGTAGCAAACAGCATTCACAACCACACTAACCGTAACCTGGACCCACCCAAGAAGCAGGTTTTTAGTATGGGAATACCTGTTCTGAGGATAGGGAGGCCAGGTTTACCTCACTCGTGAGACGATTAATTTAGAAAATCCCTCCCTGGACGGCGTTAGCAACCTAACCTGAAAGCCAACATCGGCATTTCACGGGCAGAAATGTATTCCTGTCTCCCAAGGAAATAATATCGGAGGTGATAAAGTTTGAGCTACAGGGAAGGTCATCACAGCATTACTTCCCAAGAGAAAAGAACTAGAAAATACCATATATGTCATCTAAACAAGATCGCTTAAGTTGATCTAGCCACACAATGGGACATTATGTCACTACTACAAAAGGTGCTTCTAATGACAAGAAAAGATGTCCACTATATATTAAGTGAAAAGAGTTGCAGAACAGAATTTACAGTATAATTTCATTTTTGTATAAATGAGTATGTCCTATGCACAGGAAAAACTCTCGAAGCAAATATGCCAGTAACAATTGTAAATGGAAGATTACTGAGGATTTTTTCAATTTTCTTATTGGTAAACCTTACAATAAACCCTTAGTACACATGAAACCCAATTAAGTTATTTGAGAGGGAAGGCGGTGCAGAGCTGAGGGGCCTGCAGAGTGGAGGCCTCCAGCAGACAGCAGGCAGGTCCCCCTCAGCAGGCTGAACGGTGGAGGGGGCGCCATCACCCAAAGGAAGTCAAGGGCCACACTCCCGGGACACACATCACATCTTAGTTTTGGTTATTTTGTTATCTTCGTCTTGCCATTTCCAGACTGCATCAGTGTATTTTTTTTGTGTTAAATATGAACACTTAAAACATTCCACAAATATCTGTAAGCCCATTTGGGAATTTCATTTATGTCAACACCACGTAACAAGTACTACTCAAAGCCAGGTTACTTCCTCCAGAGACTTAAGTACCCAAAGAGATCAGCCTCGCATAAATGGTCTCCAGGGTCCCTTAAAGGCCATGGTCAGACAAACCAAAGGCGCCTACTCGGCAGGTATGGTCCCCTCTCCTTTCTGTAACATGCCAGTTTTTAGGGTCCCTCCTGGGCACACAGAGGAAGCTCAACCAATACTTACTCTCAGGCTATTTTCCTTTTTAAAAGAACTTTCAAATTTAACTTTTGCTATTCTTATGCCCCATTACTTTTAATTTGCACCAGATCACCCTTTCTACTTTAACTGCCACAAGCCCACTCAACTCAATTTCACTGCATCATCCACAGCCTCTGGGAGTTCCGAGACAAGGCTGAAATCAGATCTATGCACCAGGATGCAATAATCGCCAACACTGTCAACACCTGCGACCCATCCCACCTGACCTGAGGCTGAGGGTAGAAACAGGTAGAAAGCTCCTGACACCACCTGGACTAGGTGGAGGACGGGAGGGCATGAGCACAGCCCTCAGCTGCCTGTTCTCTGCTGCTATATTAACGAGCCCCGCTTCATAACTTCTCCCAATGCCATTTATACCCCTGCAGAGAAATTCTGTCAGCCCGCCAGTTGCTAGGACACAGTACCATTTATAGAGGTGTTTATAGCAGTTACCCTTGAAGATTGGAAGCAAGAGTTTTGTAATCATCGTATAAAAAAACACGAGAAACAAGTTCTGGAAAGGAAAGGCAGGTGGAGGGGGGCTGAGGTAAAAAGCAAGGAAAAGAGGTAAGGTAGGAAAGGAGGCCTAGATGATTCTGGGGTAACAGGAATGGGGTGGCGAGCAGGGAAAGGATCCTTGAACTCGGACACAGCAGGGCCTTCTTGGCAGAGCCGTGGGCAGCTCAGTAGCATACACGTGAGGGTTCACCAGGACAGAAGAGGCAGGCAAACAAGACCCACTGAGCAAAGGCAGCAGCCAGTCCCACAGCTGTTCTCCAGAAAGGAACTCCCCCACCCGTTTTTGTCACAGCTGTGAGACCTGTCCCTATTTTGGGTCTCATCTCCCCTTCCAAAGCCAAGCTTTCCTTTCCACTCCCTTGGAAACAAGTTTTCATAGTAGAGGTTGGCACTAGTTTCTCAAATTTGTCTCCTGTGAGGCAAAACCTTACAACCCCAAGAGTAAACACAGAACAGCAATACAAGGAATTAGCTATCAGGATAAAACGCTGCCGCCATTTCCCCACCCAGGACACAGAATTAGCTCAGTCGTGACGCTTACTATGGATTCCAGGTGCTTCTATTCATGCCCTTTGCAGTCTTGGACTGCTTAGTACAGCACTTACACAATTGAGCCCAAACTTGTCACTCACCCAAAGAAAACAAATTTAAGCCAAAGCCAAAGTCGTAAGATGAGAAATATGCCTAGACCCAAATCCCAGATACATTCCAGTCTCCCAAAGACCCAAATATGGAAGAAAACACGTATCACATGTCCATTCTCTTCTTAGGCCATTTCCCCTAAGAAAATGTAGAGAAAAGGAGGTCCCATTTTTGATAATACCACTTGGAAATCTAACCAGGTCAAGTTCCAGGATATTACAAAGTACCCCAGCTCCCCCACGTGACCTTAACACTGACCTTCATTGGCTGGGTGGTTCGGCACCTCATTTTTACAAACCATTCCATTACACATTCCCAAGTGAGCAGAGCCCCCCTTCCCGCCCACCAGGCTGCAGACCCATCAGGACACCACACTACTGAATGATCTCAATTATTTGGAGCTGTTAAAGTGAATTTAGGCCTAAATCTACAATATGAAGATACATTCAACTTAATTATGACGACAGCTTGATTTTAAAAAAACGTGGAAAAACATAGTAATACAAAACAATTCTAATGAGTTCAGAACTCAAACCTTTATTTGTGCTGTAATGGGGAAGAAAAATGATTAGTCATCACGTACATGAGGCAACAATACTAGTTCTTACCAAATACAGCAACATACAAGTACTTTTAACCACTTTTACAGTTTCAATTTCACAACAGCATCTCCCACATATTTCCCCATAAATGGGTGACTAATGCTCTTAAATTCCAGTAACAGTAACTGTATCACGCCCAAGTCACTGGTTAAGAATAGATCAGGTCAACATATTTTTATACAAAAACAAACAAACAAACAAATCCCACAAGACAGAAAAATCCCAAGGGCAAAAAGTATTTAGGATTTAAAATTTTTAAAGTGAAATTTAAGGGGAAGAGGAATATGGCAACAAAAAGCCACTGGTATTACTTTACCAATTCAATAGATTCATCTCAGAAACAAGTGATATCGTTTTCAGCTCTTTCCCTGAATTTTTACAATCAAACCACATCTAGTAAACATTCTCCCCCCACCCATTTTGCTTATTCCCCAAAGTGATTTTGGCTGAGTTTCCCCTTTAGTACTGATCATTTAAAAAGCACGTTCAAACTAAAGATAGATGGATTAACTCTAACCTTAGCAAGGGCACATGGATTGTTTGCTACTAAATATTACAGCAATTTTATAGTGACCACAATTATTAAGTTCTTCACATTACAATGACTACGAATAGATAATAGTAAGCAAAAACTTGTTATTAATACCGACCACAAAGAAAAGGCAAGTGATGCATTTATATAACGCACATAACATACAAAATTCCTTTAGAAATCATTGCTTTTTCACTTTGCTCAGAATTTTCAATCACAAACTATCTCAATGAGCAAAAATGAGTTTCAAGCACGCCAAAGTCTCCCACTTAAAAAAAAAAAATCAGCATTTAAAGCCTTCTCTAAGACTCCTGCTCCTGAACACTGTACACCTGTCACAGCTTCAGACAAGTCACTCAGGCTTGCAGAGCAGTGAAGGTTGTTAATCCTCTGCTGATCAGTTTTTGACATAAATTTTCAAGTGACTGGTATTCGCTCTTCTCCACCTTGCAGCAAAGCAAAACAATTTTGCTTTTCTCCCTGCACTTAGACTTCTAAGTGCTTTAGAAAGTTTCCAAGCAACTTTTGTGCTTCCAAGCAACAAGTTAACATTAACAATTCACTACTAACTAGTATTTTCATTGCCCGTGAGCTCTATTAAATTCCCCAGAGCTCTGCCCACTGATCTTTTCTCCAGAGAATTCCCTTCAACTCACATTCCCTACCACCCCCACCCTCTGGCAATATACCTAACCACACGCCCCTCCTCCCTTTCTTCACCCCCACCCCTTCCAGTTACCAAGCTGTGCCGTCGCCCTCCCACACGCTGATCTTTCTCCAGAGAATGCCCTTCAACCCACATTCCCTACCAACCTCACCCTCTGCAATATATCTAACCACCCCCTCATTTTCTTCACCCCACCCCTCCCAGTACCAAGTTATGTCCTCCCCCTCCTACAACCCTCACCCCTCACCTCTGTCCCCCTTCCCATTAGAATGCCCAAATTACCTTGAAGTAAAATTCAAGTTAAAAAACCTATATACAGAGCAAGCTGAAGCAAAGATCACTATTGGTATCCCAACTGTTTTCTTCTTAGTCATCTGCAATGCAGTCGAAATGCCCAAAATAGACCTGACATTACTAACAGAATTTGGGCATGACCAACTCGTCCCCTCCCAGACGGCAGCATAACACATTTACTTCATCCAAGTATTTGCCTAAAGGCATTTCAAACGAACATTTCCCCCATAGTTTTTATCACACTAAGATTCCTCCAACCAATGCACAGGCAGGCAGGTAGGTGGGTGAGTAGGTGAGAGGGTCACGGGGCTCCATCTGCCAGCTCCATCTACAAGGCATCACTTTGCGTTGTGGCATCAACATTAAAATGTTCTATAGCTTAAGAATCTTCTGGAAGCAAGGTTCGTAGTACAGAACTAGTATGACAGGAGGCTCAATTAAGAAGATGCAGCATCTGAAAACCTCCACCCAGAAAAGGAGGGTTGCCTGCTGGCATTCATGTGCCCGGAGGTTGGTGCTCCCGGATCAAAATTCAAATACACACATCTGCTGGTGGCCCCTGGTGCATCTGCTTTGGACTTTTTAAGACTGTCCCCTCAAAAGGGGGCAGTCTGAAAACCTCAAACGATGGCCTCCTGAGCAAGGCCTGGAACCATGACACTGGAGAACTTCCTCCTCCTAAGACTCTGGAAATTAAATCTGCAGGCATCAATATAGGCGGGCTTTCTCCTTCAGGCTCTCCCCTCCTGCACTGCTACGACTCACACTGGCCAGGGGCTCCATTTCTCCTGGTGCCATCTGATCGCCATGATGAGCACTACAGCAATAAACCACGGTCCATGAGGCACTTCAGTAACTTTCAAGGGGTACCATCGCTGTGGCCCCACCCAAGGGTGCATTCAATACCCACCCTCTCCACCAGGCAAGCAACACCAACCCGCCCCACCCAGAGTCTCGGCAGGGAGAGCCTTTCCTCCTCCAAAATTACCAACAATACCGACTCCAACAGCAACTTCGGCAACTTTCCCAGGCTTACCAGATTACCAGAAGCAAGGTTTTAAGTGAATGGATAACCTCGAGAGAGTTAAAGGGAGGAGGAGGGGCAGAGTGAGCTCACAGGAGAGGTTAGCACCGAACCTAGAGGAAAAGTCCAAAGGGAAGCACTGCCACCTGGAAAATAAACCGTGGGTCAATTTTGTCCACAAATGTCCTGCCTCTGCAGCCCCCGCCTGACACATCAGGCGCCACAACAGTAACCGCTTAGGATGGCACCTTACCTCACTCTTGAGACCACCCTCACCACCGACCAGGGGTCTTGGCCTCACACCCAGACCTGGGTTCCACCAGGGTGGGTCTGGTCTGGACCCTGTCCCAGGCCGAGTCAAAAATTACATACCACCCTGGGCCAGAGCCGTCAGCCCCGCGTGGCTAAGTTGTTTCCACAAGACCAGGCCTCATCCCCAGGCAGGTTCACAACCCTTTGTCTGGAAAAAAAGGGGACTGCTGGTATTGACAAGTTCAAGGTATGCCCTCCCAGCCCACCTGTGGCCCTGCATCCCAAGGCCTTCCTTCCTGATCACTTTCAGGGCATCAACTGCCCAATTCCACCTGGTCTCCAGCAAGGGTAGCGAGACCCTCAGTCTCCTCCACCTACTCCTATCTCTGCCTTTCTCCTTCCACACAAACCAGGGCACTGGGGCTCACTCAGCCCAGGCAGGAGCAACACAGTCCCAGAAGTCAAGCTCCCCTTCTCCAACAGGCAGCAGTCACAGCCTGGCCCGGAGTGTCGCTGTCCTCTCCCCTCGGTTACTGCGGGCCCTCTCAACGCAGCTTTCTCCAGGATAGTTTCCCCAAGACTTAACCTCCGCTTTAACCTTCCTTCTCCTTGTACACCCAGCCCCCCCAGTCTTATTTAACTTTGCCATCGCTCTCATCTGTCCCCTGAGGCCCTAAACTGGCCACTTCCTCCCCCAGAACTAGGCCCAGGCGCGTGTCCCTCCTTGTCGCTAACTCCTGCGGGACAGCCAAGAACTTTTGCTTTTATAGCCCTTAGCCGCATCACCCAGGGTATTGCTCAACGGGACGATTCCTCCACGGCCACCGAAAAAAAAAGTCCGCCCCCCCACCCCTCCTGCCCAAGAGGACTCGGGGCGGGGTTCAGTCTCCTGGGGCGTCCATCCTCTCCACCTACCCCCCCCCACTCCTCCTGTCAGCAGTGCTTCAGAAGTACGACAGATCTCAAGGTCACCTTTGGGAAGCGGATTCCACTGGGGTGGGGGGGGAGTCCCCTTTTTTTTTTCTGATGGTGGTGGTGGCGAGGGGGAAACTGTTCCCTGAGAGAGGGGGTGGATGGGGTAGGCGGGCTGGGGCCGCTCTCCCGAGGGGGCGAAGGGGAATGCCGGGTTGCTTGAGGTCACCCCGCCCTGGAGAAGTCAGAAAGAAGGCCGGCAGAGCGTGTGGAAAATTCCAGGCGGCGGCGGAGGGATCTCTGCAGAGGGCGCATCACTCCCGGGGCGGCGGCGCGTGACTCTTCAGGCGGTGGATGACTCCTCGGGCGGCGGCCTGGCCGCGTGAGCGCGGGTGACGTCAGCGCCGAGGGGCGCGGGTGGGGGCGCAGCAGCCCGAGGCCGAGCGTGGCCGAGGCCGGGGTGGAGGCGGGGATCGTCACGAGGCAGGTGGGGAATGTCTGCACGTTGGCAGCCACGTAGCGCTTAGCCTGTGCTTACGGTGTCTCAGGTTTAAACAGCCTGCTGTGATTTTGTTACTTAAAAAAATGGGAGCAAATTGATTAAAAAGTTCAGCCCGGAGTTGCCTGTGGTAACTTAAAGGGCATGCGTCATGATTTTGTTATTGTTACCAGGGGCCCGAATGTTTGAAGTATTTCATAAGAAAAGATGTCCTTTTGGGATAGAATAGCAATTGTTTGTTATGTATTAAGTGGAAAAAGGCAGTTGCAAAGTAATGAAAACAAGATTTGTTTGTGCAGAAAACGCTAATGGTGTGGCAACAAGACCAAAAGGGTGTAGGTATTCAACCCATTTTACTTTTGGATTGGGTGGTGGACATTGTTTTTGAAAAATCAATTTGTCCAGGGGAGTTTGCAGCCTGTGATGGGCCTCAGGCCTGTTTGGTGACTGCTGGGGGCACTGGCTCGCTGGCTGGCCCCGTGGAGGCGGCTTCCAGCCTGCATCTCCTAAAGCAGAAGCACAAGCAAAGGGGGTGAACGCTTGTCCCCTCCACCGAGGCCAGGTGCAGGGCCTGAGCGCTTGGTGAGGATTTTGAAAAGGGCTGGCATCTCCTGTGCCAGTGTGGGTCCAGAGTCAGGAAGAACCGCAGACAGTGACCTCCATGTGGTCTTGGTTCAGCTCTGGCCCCCTGAAGTAGAGAATAGAAGGAGGACAGTGGGCAGAGTAACCAGAAACGAAAATGGCTTCTTGGGCCAACTCCCTGCCGGGAAGTCCCCTCCCAGGGTAACCACCCACACCCCAAACAAAACTGCCTGTGACAGCAGGCCCCTTAGCAACCAGGAGGAAACGGGCAGATTTTTTTTTCCTCTGCAAGATGGCAGGGGAGGGGGAAGGGGGGCTGGCTGGCCCAGTTGCTGCACCCGGTTCTCGGAAAACTGGTGACTTTCATGTGACCCTTAGCACAGAAGGTCGAGTATGCTGCAAGCCCAGGCCTGCTCCGCCCTAAGGCTGCTTAGTTAGCCAGGGTCTTCTGCCAGGGAAAGATTGCGGCAGCTCACCCTGCTCCAAGATCTTGTCCTGGCAACATTTCCGTGGGTGGGTTGGGGAGACTTGGCCTGAAAGAACAGTGTGGATGGAGGGAATGGCCTGTCAGAAATGTTTTGGAAAGCTGAGAGGTGTGTATAATACCAAGCAAGTGCATTCCTGCTGTGTCACAGTAAGGGCTGTGGGGTCAGTCCTTTATTTGCCTACACAGCGCCTGAGGTGGTAGTCACTGCTGTGGCTCCTTTCTGGGCCCAACTTGATGTCTCAGCCTGCTTTTCTCCACCTCTGGTCTAAAAAATCTGCCTCATTCACATATATCATTCCCAAATCCCAGAAACAGATTTTTTTCAAGAGTCGGAATAGGTGGGATTAGCACACAAAGCATCAGGATTCTAAAGCTTAGGATTCTCCATCTCAAGAGGAACTAAGGCCTGCCTTTGTGCCCCACGTCTGGAGCTGCCCTGGCCACCCACTCCATTTTCAAGGACAAAATGGCCGTTTCAGAGGGTCCTTGTTTAGACACTCGTGGCCTCCCAATTCCACACAGCAAGTTTTCTTTCGGAAAGGACTGTATTTGAGGAGAGATGAGGGTAGAAAACCATACGAGTACCTCTGTCCTGCTCATCTCTGTCCTGCCTTGGGGGGGGGGGGGGCGCAAGGCAGTGCTCCCGGGACAGCGGACAAATGAGTGGGCTTGGGTTCTGCCTCTTTCTCTACAAATAAAGCTAAACATCCTTCCTCTCTGACAGAGGGAGGATGGGAGGAGGAAAACAAGGCAAGTAGAACAGGGCGTGGGTGTGTCAGCAGATTTCTCTAGATCAAAACAAGCTGTTCCAGGAAAGAGCTGTAAACAGAGGACTTGGATCCCTGGGTGGGGCTGGGTGGAGATGGGCCCGCCCTGCCCGGGTTGGGGGCAGAAGCCTGCTCCTTTCTGGACAGCCCGCTTAGGGGGCTCACAGAGGAAGGGGAAAGGACAGACAGACAGGAAAGGGCCCCTTGGGCAACATCCGGATTTCAGGAGCAGGACTCAGGCTCCAAGTCCTTTCTCACGGCCATAGCTACCTCCCCATCTTGTTCTGAAGTCAGCTCAGCTCTGTTTCCAAACATACACCAGCCCAGAAAAGACCCCAGGTGATTTCCTATAGGAGCCCCTGGAAGAGGGAGAGTAGAGGGGTGGGAAAGGGATTATACTTGAAGTGCACACCAAGGGCAGGACAAGGATAATATTGCTGCTGCCGCTTGAGAATGTACTAGAGGTCCACTCCTATTCCTTAGGGGTCCAGTTTCAGAGCTGTGGCCTAGGTCACCTTGGGCTCTCTACTCGCAGGAAACCCTCGGCTGGGGCCATGTCTGAGCCATGAGGCCCCTGGTCTAAGGGCCTGGGTGGGGAAACTGCACAGTCACTGTGTGCTGGCGGGGAGCCAGTCCTTCCTGCCTGCTTGCCTCACAGCAGCCCTGAAGAAACCGCAACCTGGACCCACCCCACCGGCCTCTCCTGCCCTGATAGGAAGCTGGGCCTCAGTCAGGGCTCTAGCCAGTCAGCGTGACCCTGGGGACCCCCTTAACCTCTCCCAGCCCTGCTTTCCTTCCTTGTTCCCACTCCATAATTCTGACAAGTATTGTTCTGCCTGGAAGGCTCTTCACCCAGTGGCCTCTGGCCCAGTCCTGCTTAGCTCCTTCAGGTCACTGGCCAGAGGTCACCTTCTCAGCGAGCCCTCCACCCCACTGGGACTTGAACTCCTTCAGGGCGGGGTTTTCGTTTGTTTTGTCCTCCACTGAATCTCTGCACCCGGCAGTCCCTGTACATTCCTGGCACAAAGTGGACCTTGGTAAATGTGTTAACCAGTCTGTTTTGTAAAGGTCGGTCTATCCACTGTGAGGCTCTCAGTAACCATTTGTGATACTCATGGGCTGACTGAAGGAAGGAAATGAGTTCCCAGGTCAGCAGCAGAACTCCACGATGGGCCCAGACCTGGAGGTCTGTCCCGTCTGGGCTCCCAGGTCAAGAGACGCTGAGAATGGGCTGTTCCTGTGGACGTGGCCCAGCAATTCACATGGAATGTCTGGGAACCAAAGCCGGCAGAAGGCCCTGAGAGACACTGAGGAGACAGCCCCCAGACCCTGGCTTATTAGCAGAGGAGGAGGTGGGCCAGCCCACCTACACTTCATGCTCCCATTTTCTTGGCCCACATGAGAGGGGATCTATCCTACACAAGAAAACTACTCACACATTTGACCCATGTCTCCCCTGGGGGCCACCGGGCCTATGGGCTCTGGGTCCCTGATGCCCTTTCCTGGTCACTGCTGGGGCAGCTCCAATAGCCTGCCCCCCCTCTCCCAGGGCCAGGCCCCAGGACATAACTTTGATAGTATCAGTCTCTTGCATCCAGATGTCCGAGACTCCCTGCCACATACATACACCCCGACTCCTGGGCAACCGAACCCCCTCCTCCAGCTTCCCTGAGCCCTGCCCAAGTTGGCCTGCCTGGAGCCTGCCCTGTCCTTTTCTGCCAACTCCTTCACCAGTTCATGGTCACCTCCCTATGTCCTGAACCTTCTGCTCCTAAGAGCTCACCACACCCACCTGTCCGCCCCACCCCATGCTGAGTATCTGTGTCCTTGCTTCCCAGCTCCAGCAGAGGGAAGGCCTGTGAGACAAGGGACCCCCCAAGCCTTGCCTCCCTTGACCACTGCTGTGCTCCTCCAGTGGTCCTCAGACCTCCTTGGCACGTTTGTTGCCAACTAAGCAAGTTCCAGCTTTCATAGACCCCACCCTTTGACCTGTGCCCACCTTGTCAGCCTCTCCCCAGGTCCCATCAACTAGAAATCCTGGTGACAGCCCCTCTGGGCAGGGAGCTGGGCCAGTGCTGACACCCACCATCTTCTACCCCTGGGTTTGCACAGCCCCCAAGAAACCCTCTGCCTTCTCCAGGGCCTGCCTGCAGCCCCCACTGCTGGGTCCTCCGGCTTCTGCTGTGTCCCTGCCCATGGTCAGTCCTCAGGCCTGAGCCTTGTTGTCCCCCAGTGACCCCACTAGTGCACTGGTGGCTCATACTGTTCTTGAACCTCTGGAGGAGACTTTTCTGCTCTGATCCCCCTTGGCCTGCTTAAGTGGCGTCTGTGAGTGAGGCGTGCATGGCGCCAGGGCTTCTGCGGGCAAAGCAAAAACCCTCTGAGTGGTTCCATCGGCCCCTGGAGGCTCCTGACCTTGACCCTGTGAGGGAGGCCTGGCTCTCACTGGCCCAGGGTGTCAGCAGTCACCACCATCCCCTCCACCATATGCCAAGGTCTAATGGGCAGGAAACACAAGTCCCAGGGAAGAGCTGGGACTGTTGTTATTCTTCTTGCAAGTTAGACTTATGACAAGTAGTTTAAAATAGCTCAAGGGCTCAGTATGTGTGTGGGAGGGAGATGCTGAGAGAGGGGCCAGGACAGCTGGGAAGGGGGAGGGACCTGGGACAGTCAGCTCCTGTGGGCACAGGATGAAGCAGGAAGATGACTAGTCCCACAGTGTGCACACCCACCTCCTGGATTTCCCCAAATAACTCTAGTTTGAAATATCTTGACTCAGTTGTCATATCACAGGAAAACAAAAAAAAAATTCCGAAGATGTCCGGACTCCCCGTCCCCCCCCCCCGTCCCCCTCCCCATCATGGACGGATGGAAGGTGGTGGCGGTCAGGAGCCAAAGTGCCCGTTGTGTAAGGGAGTGGGCATGTAGCGCCAGTCCCAAAACGCCCCCCCAGATTCTGCCCAGGTTTCTGCCTGCGTAGATCTGAGTGGGCGGTACCAGCTCGCGGCTTCTGCAGCCGAACTGGAGGAGGAAAGGGCGGGCTCGGCTGCCCCCTGCCGGCCGCAGCCGTAACAGCAACCTGCGGGTAGTGACCGTGGCCGACTCCTCCCCCACCTCCAATTGTCAGCCCGGTGGGGCAGGAAAAGCAGCCAACCATGGGGCGCCAAACTTGCTGCTTAAAACTGAAGTCTTCGCCCAGGCCCAGGCCCGCCATCTGCTCTGAGTGACGTTGGGTAATCTGCCTGCATTCTCTGAAATGCGGGGCTGATTTGGACAGGGAGGAAGTGCCAGGTGGCTCCCAGATGCTGTAAGTGGTGGAGAAGGACCCAGAAATGCCTAGACTGAGTAACGGGAGTGCCTGTTTTGATTATTCAGTGACCTCTGCTACCTGAAGAGTTAGGGGGTGCCTTGGGAGCCGTGAAGAGCCTCTCCCACTGCACTGACCCTCATGGGCAGTCTTGGCAGGGCCTCCTCTGGTCTGGGGGCCTCTGGAGCTAGGTGCTGCCTGAGCCGGGCAGTGTGTGCCAGGCTGGTGGGGGAAAGCACTCCTACTTCTCCATGCACCCCAAGGGCAGCTGGTATTTTAAAACAACCTTTGATGCATTAAAAAAAGTCTTGGGCTGGCCAAGAGGCACTTTGGTTAAGGGCTGGCTTGGGATGCCAGAGGGCCCCGGTTCGGATCGCACATATGAGGGCCAGTGACACTGCCCTCCACAGCTAAGATGCTGAACAACAGCTCACTGTCACCGGCGACTTAGGGCAGCCCAGCTCCAGGTTGAGCTGTTGTTCACCATCTTAGCTGCAGAGGGCAGTGTCACTGGCCCTCATATGTGGGATCCGAACCGGGGCCCTCTGGCGTCCCAAGCCAGTTCTTAACCATCGCGCCACTCGGCCGGCCCCCTTTTATGTTTTAAAACTATTTTTTTCAATTACAGTTGACATTCAATATTATTTTATATTAGTTTCAGGTGTACAGCATAGTGGTTAGACATTTATATAATTTATCCAGTAATCCCCCCAATTAGTACCCACCTGACACTATACATAGTTGTTGCAATATTACTGACTGTATTCCCTATGCTGTACTTTACATCCCCTTGGCTATTTCGTAACTACCTGTTTGTATTTTTTTTTTTCTGTGTAAGATTTTTATTGGGGAATTGGGGGATGGGAACAGTGTTGGGGAATTGGGGGAAGGGGAACAGACAAGTTGCTGTTGTTTTGTTCTTCAGTCTAGTTATGGAGGATGTTGCTTCACTGGCCCAAGTTGGCACCATCATTGCGTTCTTCCAGGGTGAGGCAGATCAGTCGCTGGCTTCTGGACGGCCGCTCACAGCGGCTGCTGGCCGCTCACTCTGGCTGCTGGCTGCTGGCTGCTGGCTACACATGGTAGCCCATGGCAACCCGCCTGCTGTCACCTCCGACTCACAGCAGCCCAGCTCCAGGTTGAGCTTTTGTTCATCATCTTAGCTGTAGAGGGCGCAGCGTTATTGGCCCTCAATGTGGGATCCGAACCGCAGCCCTGCTGCTCAGAGCTGGTGCTCCCAAGCGAACTCTTAACCAGCTGAGCCACTCGTTCGGCCCAAGAAAAATAATTTTTAAATCCTACTTTTGCAAATTCTGTACAACCACTGAACACACTTCTAGGCCCTTCGGAAAGGGCTCTTGCAAAGGGGAGGACCCTGAAGTTTGCCCTTCATTCATTCCAGGTGACTCAGAGGGTTGGGGACAGGGTAGGGGCAAACATAGGGAGGTGTTCCTGGAGTTTGTGTTGCTGACCTGCTTGGAGCCTGGATTTGGGCTGGTGCTGCCTCATGGGGATGTGTAAAGCAGGGCCTGATCGCAGGGTGCCCATGAGGGAGGGAAACACCCCACAGTGTGAGCAGCATGCCCATGTGGAAGAGAGGGGAGCAGAGTGCTTCACAGACCAGGAAGCCAACACCAAGGGTACCTCTCAGCAGCAACCTGACAGGAAAAGCCAGGCTGGGCTCCCCACAGGATCTAGTTCCCAGTTAGACTCCCCCCCCCCCCCCCCCCCCCCCGTGCCCTTTGGCTATCTCAAGGTGCCTGGAATTGGGATTGGCTCCAGGCCTGCAGAGAACTGAGAGGCCTCCCCCAGCACCCATCCTCTCTCCCCCTCCATCTGCCAGGTCCCTCTACAGGCCACAAGGGCTTTTTTTCTAGGGGTCACCTGGTCTCCTCTCCCCACTGTGCCTGGAGCACTCGGCCACAGGCAGCATGCAGGATGAGCAGCGAAGGCTAAACTGAGCCTAGAATGGGGGGCGGCGGGGAAGGGGAGAGGCAGTGTCCTCTCCTCTCCTGCAGAGAGCACAGGACCCTTCTGTGGAGGAGAGCCCGCTGAAGAGTGAAATGGTGTGCATGTGTGGCTGGGGAAACACATTGTGAATTTATGCCCATGAAACCAGTGGGTAGCAGTGGAAACTGGGCAAGGTCCTGGGGAGGAGGCAGGCCCCCCTGTCAGCCTGAGCTTCACTCGAACAGATAACCAATCCTGCTCCCAACGTGCAGACAGGAGGCAAATGTCACTGGCCTGGAGCACAAAGCAGGGGAGGGCCACAGTGGAAGGGGTGGTGCAGTAAGCAGACTAAGCCCCCCAAGATGCCTCGTCCTAATCCGCAGAGCATTGTGAATGTTAGGTTAAGTGGCAAAGGGGAATTAAAGTAGCTAATCAGCCGACTTTATAGGGAGATTATATGGCTTATCCACCTTGGCCCAGTGTAATCACAAGGGTCCTTAACAATGGAAGTGGAAGGCACAGGCAAGTCCGAGAAAGACATGTAAGGAGGAAGGTCAGAGGGGTTGCTGTGAAGACCCCACCCGCCTGCACTGGCTTTGAAGGTGGAGGAAGGGGCCATGAGCCAAGGAATGCAGGTGGCAGGTGGCCTCCAGAAGCTGGAAATGGAAACCCATTCTCCCCAAGAGCACGGAATGCAGCCCTGCCCACACCTAGATCTTAGAGCCTCCCTGGAATTTAGCCCAGGGAGGCTGTTTTGGACTTCTGACCTCCAGAACTGTGAGATAATGTGTGCTGTTTTAAGTCGCTAAGACTGTGGTCATTTGTTACAGCAGTCACAGGAAACTAACACAGGTGGCGAGGGCAGATGGGGCCTGGGTAGAGGAAGGGCTCCAGGCCCTGCGTCACCCACCAGAGTGGGGGTGTCTGTGCCATCAGCAGGCCCTGGCCTCTCTCATAGACCCCATTCTCCCTCCCAGTTTTCAGACTTTCAGAGACGATGAAAATAGCTAATACCTATCAAGTGCCTAGTCAACTCCAGACCCTGAAGCACCCCAACATCCCTATGAGGTAGGTACTTTTATTCCCATCTTAAAGGTAAAAAAGTGGAGGCTCAAGGTCAGCGCCTCAGGAAAGTGCCCACAATAACGGCATCATGTTGTCCTCACCTGGTGGAGGACCCCACAGAAGACACGGCACCACTCACTGTCACGGATGCCTGAGGGGAGAGGCCGTAGTCCCAGGACCTGGCTGCGGTGGGGACATGTGGCTTGCTCCTTCCAGCTCCCGAAATGTTCAGTGTTAACCCCAGCCCCCAAACAGTGCTCATCCCACAGGGCCCAAGCCCACGGTTGTCATCGCTGTGCAGCTTCCTGCTGGCCCCCAGCTCTCAGGAAGGGGGCCTGATGCTGTCCGTCCCTCCCAACAGGATCTGTGGGGAAACAAACTGCCTCCCCTCCCCCCAAGCACAGCGCAGGGGGAGCCCTCAGGGCGGGCCTGAGAATCACCCAAACCTCCTGAGTTCTCTGGCCTCTTCCGAGGCACCGTGCCCTGGGCCCCATCCCTCAGGTGTGGGGAGGAACCTGGCTGCTCCTGGTTCCCCTGCCTCCCTGCAGAGTTCCCACCTTGGTTCCTATTGTGAACCCCAAACCTCTCCTGGACTTTCTTAACCCTGACCAACCACCAAGACTGGAAAACTTCACCCTGCATTCTCAGTCGCACTGAGCTTCAGAGCCCAGAGGGCTGCATCCCTTAATGCACAGATAATAAAAAGCCAACATACAGCCAGGAACCAACTCCCAGGCTGTAATTAACACTCTCTTCAGTTCGTATCATAAGCCACCCTAAAGTCTGCTGGAAACTGATTTTATTATTAAGTCACATGGTACAAAAGAATGAGAAAGTCCAAGGGCATTTAGTAAAATGCTCTTTGTCTCAAAGAGCCAGCAGAAAAGGTTAAGGCACAATGGATGCTTAGAAAACGGGGAAGACTGAAGAGTAAAAACAAGTAATTTGTGTACACACACCCACCCACCACACCCCACAGGCTCATCAGATAAAAATTCACCTGACATCAAAACACTGAGTGGGACAAGGGAACCAGAGGGCTGGGAGCCAGACAGGCTGGGCAGCCAGTGAGGGCGACTCAAGGAGAGATAAGATGTCCTCTGGCTGGGACATTCCAAAAGGCTGAGAACACCTAATCATTATGACAAATAACAAAGTCCCTGCTGCCAGAAGGCAAGCCCACCTCAAACATCTGGAGTGTTCCAACGTCACCAAAGGGAGGAGGTGTGTGGGCTCTGGTATCTGGAGACAAGGGGTTTGCATTTCCTCTCCCACAGTTCCCCAGCAGAAAGGGGAGACAAAGCAAGCCTTGTGCTGAGCTGGGCCTGCCTCTTACTGGTGGAAAGTCCCTGGAAGCTCAGTGAGAGCCCCCTCCCCGCCCAGGGAGGAGACCAAGGGCTGGGCAGGATCTCCCCCTGGGCCAGCACACCCACCCTCTGTAACTTGTCCTGGAGAAAGAAGAGATAGGAAGAGGCGTTCTGGGGACTTCCTGCACATGGGCCTGCCCCCAGGGTCAGGTCAGATGCAAACTGTAGCTCCACCTTTGAGAAAAAGCCATCAGCTCTGAGGTTGTGGGGTTCTCTTGAGTTGCCCCAGAGTTCACAGGCTTTATGGAAGCAAAGCAGATAAAGACCAAAACTAAAACCTGAAGCCCAAAGGGGTTTGGGAGCTTCTCTAAGTGTGGAGAGTGGGTCTGGTGCGCTTGTTGGTCCACAGGACAGCCACCTCCTAGCACAGTGATAGCAAAAAGGCACTTTCCTTCTGGTCAGCATCTCCTGCCAGCAAGAGAGGTCCGAGTGAAGAGCACAGGTGCTCCGAGCTGGGCCCTGCCTGGCTCCCTCCAGTTCCATCCAGCCAGGGAGGGTGTGGATGGGGGCCTGGCCTTCTCTGTTCTTGTGCGGTTCAACCCAGGGAGGTCCCTTCCAGCCCGCAGAGTGATGGCCCAGCCTGGCAGTGTGGCTAGAATGCAGGTAGAAGGAATGAGGGCATGTGGTCGCCCAAGTCCAGGGAAAAGACCATAGACATACACTTGACCCTTAGGTCCCAAGCCCTACTCCTTGGTCATGTGCCATGGGAGCCACCACTGGGGCTTCAGAGCAGGGGACACTGTCCATCTTAAGAAGGACACAATGACGAGTCCCTGGTGGGAGGGGGCGCTGGGGCCTGAGCAGATGGTCCTGAGATGGCAGCAGGGCCCAAAGTCCAGAGGAAGGGCATGCAGGCGACGAGAGGGACCCTGTGGGAGCCCCCGGCCAGCTCTGCACAGCCCAGGCACTGCCTCAGGCACAGCAGTCACTTCTCTAAGCTCCAAAGTAGCCCTCCTCCCCTCAGGAAGGGGAGTGGCCCTGCCCCTCAGGAAGGACAGTCCCGGTGCCCTCCTCCCGCCTGGCACTGCCGCCCTCAGCTCTGCTCCAGGTTCTCGTTCGGCTGCACCACGGTGTAGCTCCCTTGGCCCATGGAGAGCTGCCGGCCGAAGAAGGACGTGGTGCGCTTCGGTTTCACACGCTTGATCTGCTCGCCTGTCAGGAGTAAAACGGATGCACTGAGGAGAGGGTTCCTGGCAAGCGGGCCCAGGCCCCAGGAAGCCCAGGTTTCGGCTGCTCTCCTCTTCACACCCGCCAATTTTCTGGCCTCAGTCTCCTGACTCCCACTCTTCCACCAGCGACAGGATGGGTGGGTGGGGCGTATTGCCAGTCTCCCAAATCGGGAAAATCGGTTTGTGTTTGATGCCAGGCCAGCTGTGGTGTCTGAGTTTTTGCTAAAACCTGTTCAAGAACAGACCAAATACCTACAACACATATGACTGGTTGAAGATATACAAGGTTGCCGGTTTGACTCCCACATGGGATAGTGGGCTGTGCCCACCCGCAACTAAAAGTGAGCACAGCACTTTCAGCTGAGCTGCCCTGAGCTGCTGACGGGTGGCCGGACGGCGACTGGACTTGGAGTTGAGTTAGCTGCGCCCTCCACAACTAAGAATGAAGGACAACAACTTAGCTGTTCCCCTTCCCCAATTCCCCAATAAAAATCTTAAAAAAAAAAATGGCAGTCTACCCAAAAACCCATAAGCCCAGTCTAATCATGAGAAAAACACCAGACAAATTCCAATAAAGGGGCATCCTACAATGTTTCCTCACAACTGTCAAGGTCATCAAAACCAAGGAAAGTCTGAGAAACTATCACAGCCAAAAGGAGCCTAAGGGGACATGACCACTACAAGTGTACTGTGGTATCCTGGATGGGATCCCAGAACTAACTAAAAATAGACATTAGGTTAAAACTAAGGACTTCAGTGAATCTGTATCAAAATTGGCTCATTAATTATAACAAATATACCATATTAATGTAAGATGTTAGTTTTTAAAAATCAATAAAAAAAAGAAATAGGCAACACAAAATGAACAGTAAAACTCATGAAGAAGAAAATATAAATGAGCAGGCACATAAAAATGGTCCAACTTCGGGCCGGTTGAGTGGCGCGATGGTTAAGAACTGGCTTGGGATGCCAGAGGGCCCCGGTTCAGATCCCACATATGAGGGCCAGTGACACTACCCTCCACAGCTAAGATGCTGAACAACAGCTCAACCTGGAGCTAGGCTGCCGTGCGTTGCCAGTGACGGCAATAGGCTGCAGCCCCTGCTGCAGTGGGTTGCCATGGGCTACCGTATGTAGCCAGCAGCCAGCGTGAGCAGCCAGCAGCTGCAGTGAGCGGCCGTCCAGAAGCTGGCGACTGATCTGCCTTGCCCGGGAAGAGCGCAATGATGGTGCCAACTTGGGCCAGTGAAGCAACATCCACCACAACTAGACTGAAGAAGAAAATGACAGCAACTTGTCTGTTCCCCTTCCCCCAATTCCCCAGCACTATTCCCTTCCCCCCAATACCCCAATAAAAATCTTTAAAAAAAAAAAAATGGTCCAACTTCACTAGTAGTAAAAACACCAACCCACACATGTTCTCTCTCTGGGTGATAACACGCATTTGTGGGTGAGGGTGTGGAAGGTGGGTGCTGCTCTGTCTTCTGGGAGGGGTATATTGGGCACACCCTTAGGCCCAGCAAACCCATTTCTAGGAATTTATCCCGAGGAAACAGTTCAGATTTCAAGTGAGGATTTGGTCACAGATATGTTGTTTGTTGTAGCTGAAAGTGGACATAACTACACTGTCCCCCTGGCAGGGGACCAGGTGAAAATGACTGTGCTAAGCATGTCAAGGAAGTCTGCAAGTGGTAACAACTGTGTCATAGAAACATTATTTTGTTTTCCCCCGATTTTAAAAATGACATGCTTGTAAAAAATTTAAATGCTATGAAGAAGTTGGGGTGGCAGGTTAGCTCAGTTGGTTAGAGCACAGTGCTCATAACACGAAGATTGCCGGTTCGATCCCCACATGGGCCACTGAGATGTGCCCTCCATAGCTATTGGGTTGTCAGAAAAGTCATGATGTATTTTTTCTGTTTTTCGTTGCAAAAATGCATCATGACTTTTCCGACAACCCAATAGATTGTAACAACTACTTGACTTGGACTTGATGGGTCCTGGAAAAACACACTGTTTCCCAATTAAAAAAAAATGCTACGAAGCAGCACAAAGGGAAAGGTAAGTTACAGCAATTGATTGCGGAAGTGGGGTCTTTTTCTACTCGGCATTTTGTGAACCTTGCCATTTAATGTCGGCCTTGGTTAGTTCATTAAAAAAAATCCTTTTTATTTTCAAATGATTCTAGATTTATAGAGAAGTTGCAAAGATGATACTACCCTCGTCCAGCTTCTGATGCTAGCATCTCCCGTTGCCATAGTGCATTTGTCAAAGCTAAGAAATGAACATTGGCACAGTACCATTAACTAAACTACAGACTTCCGGGCTTCACCAGGTCTTCCACAAATGTCTTCTGTCTGCTCCAGGACCTCATCCGAGATACCACCTCATTTAGGGCATCGCATTTTTACCAGCTGCACTGATCCCACAGGATGTACCCACAGACATTGGGAGTTTCTAGTCTCACAGCTGGACAGCGCTGCATGAACACAGCTGAGGACGCAGCAGGGAAAACGGACAGAACAGGACTCGTACTGCCAGGGCCCCAGAGGCCTCCAGTTCCTGATCACAGAGCTCAGAGGATGTGACACTCACACCCAGCCCTCCTGACTTTCAGCCAGGTCCCGCCGGCTGGAGGCTACCTCAGCCCTCCCTACCCTCTAGAGCTCCCCATGGCATGCGAACGTGTACGTGTGGGCGTGTGCACACGCATGCGTGTACCACAAAGGGGTCGCTCACCCTCCTCCACGTAGTCAATGGTGGAGAGGTGCTGGATGCGGCTGCACACCACGCTGCTCTGCCTCCGCAGCTGGGGACGCTGAGTGGGCGGTGGAGAGGAGCCCGGGGCAGAAGCGGGGCCAGACAGGCTCTCCTGGGGGGCGGCGGATTCCGCTGCCTGGTTCAGCTCGATGCAGTACTCGATGAGGCTGCTCATCAGTTCAGCCTGGGGAGCAGAGGGGCCAGAGTCAGGCCTGGAGGGTGAACCTCAACTTGGGCCCACCTTTCTCTGTGTCTCCATGCACCCCCCCACATCCCCCACCCGCAAGCCCCCTGCAGAGGGCCAGGCATCCCCTGCCCTCTCAGGTGGAGGAGGCAGACGAGGAAACAAACACCATTTACACAAGAAAGGAAGTGGGGGGATGGCGGAGGCCTACCATCTGGGGTGACTTTAGAGGTCAGTCCCCTAGATGAGTAGGGGTGCTGAGTCTGGAAGGTAGGGTGGGAAAGAAAGAGCATTTTAGTTAGAACTAGAAGGCACATGTAGAGAAGGCAGTGGGCTGGAGTCAGGCAGGGCAAGCAGCTCAGCAGCTATGGAGAGGGTGAGGAAGGGAGGACGAGGCCCAGGCAGGGCTTTCTGGGCTGAAGGAACTGTATGAATGTCGGCTGAGAGAAAACCCTGCAGGGCCAGAGGACAGGAAGGCGGTAGTGAAGTCACGGGGTGGGCGTGGGGGTGGCTCCTTGAGCACATTCTTCAAAAGCGTTGCCTTTTCAACAAATTTGAAATAGAATACGTGTTGCTATAAAAGGTGAAGTGACCAGATGTCAGTGGACACAATCTGGATGGACACCATAGGATGGGGACATCAGGGGGCCGACAGATCCACAGACAGAAAGCTGTTGGCGGGTGGTGCCCTTTTGGCAACAAATATTTATTGGGTGCCTACCAGGCGCTGCTGGAGGCAGGAGGCAGTGGGACACAGCAGGGAACAGGCAGACAGAGTGCCTGCCTTGTGCTCCCAAGAAGAGAACCCACTGTGGGAGCAAACTCAGAGGCCAAGGGTGTGGCCCCAAGATGACAGAGATGTGATCCGGTCCATGCCCACCCACAGTGCAGCCCAAGACTTCTCTAAAACAACTCAACCCACCCTGGGCCCAAACCCTGCATGGGCCCAGAAGGAAGAGCCAGCATCCTGTTCTCCACGTCTGCTGCCTTTTCTCCACCAAGGGAGAGTGGGCAGTGGGCTGGCGAGGAGGTGGGCAGCTAGTAGGGACAGAGGGCCCTGCGTTGCAAGAACAATAGGGATGCCCTCTAAGTTCCTCTAAAGCAGCGTGATGGTTCTGAGATTCAGGGAGCCTGCCATTAAAACTTAGCCTCATTCAATGCAATTTAACATCCATTCAAGATAAAACTCAGCAAAGTAGGAATATAGCAGGGCGTTTCCTCAACCTGTTGAAGGGCAGCTATAAAAAATCCACAGCTAACATCGCAAGTATTGAGAGCAAGACTGAACGCTTTCCCCCTAAGGTCAAGAGCAAGTCAAGGATGTCTGCGTCCACCAACGCAGAACGGTACTGCAGGCCCGAGTGACTGCTGTCAGGCAAGACGAGAGCAGTGCAGACTGGAGAGTCAGACACACCCGTCCTTAGTCACAGACAACATGACTGTCAACAGAGAACACTCCCAAAGAATCTGCAAAAAAGCTACTAAAACTAGTGAATGAGTTTAACAAAGTTGCAGGATAAAAGGACATGTGGATAATAAAAGAAACTGTATTTCTACATGCCACAGTGAACTGGAAATTGAAGTTAAAATCATAACCCCTATGGTACCATGAAAAAAAAGAAAAGAGGGAGGGAGGAAGGGAGGGGAAGGAAGGAAGGAAGGAAGAGCAGGAGGGAGAGGAAGAAAGGGAGGGCAAGAAGGAGGAACAGAGAGAAAGACAGACTGACTTAGGGATAAAAGATGTACAAGACTTGTATGCTGAAAACTATGAAATGTTAGTGAAAGAAATAAAAAACCAAAAAATGGAGATATACAAATAAATGGACTGGATGACTTAAAACAATGTCTTCCAAAGACAATATTAATAAAATGAAAATACAAGTCACAGACAGAAAGAATGCATTTGCAAAACACACACCTGATACGGGATTGGTATGCAGAATGTACAATGAACTCTCACAACTCAATAAGAAAACAAATAGCTCAAATAAAAAAAGGACAAATAATCTGAACAGACAATCCATCAAACGAGATATGTGGATAGCAAGTAAATACATGAAAAGATGATCAACGTCATTAGTCATTAGGAGAATGCAAATTAAAACCACAATGACATATCACTATTATATAGTTATTAGGGCAGCAAACAAAACAAAAACTGACAGTACCAAATGCTGAGCAAGGAGGCAAAGCAACTGGAACTGGAGACACTGCTGGTGGGAACACAAAATAGTACAGTCACTTTGGAGAACAGTCTGATGGTGTCTAGGAAAGTCAACCATAAGTGTAGTTATCATACAATCCAGCAATCCACTCCTAGGGGTTTATACAAGAGAAATGAAGACAGGGGCCCCCACAAAAGCCCCAAACCAGAAACAATCCAAACATCCAAACGAGCTACCACACAATAGGTACAGCCACACAATACAAATCAACAGTAAAAAAACAAATCGATATGCCACACAATATTATTGGATGGAATCTCAAAAGCATGAAGCTGACTTAGTGAGAGAAGCCAGTCTCAAAAAGCTGCATGCCGTGTACATGCTGGAGGGCCGTACCACAATGTTTTTTATCAATTCACCAGCTGATGGATATCTGTGGTGTTCCCATTCTTTGATTACAAACGAAGCTGCAAGGAACATTCCAGTACAGGGCTTTGTGTGGACCCACGTCTTCACTTCTCTTGGGTAAATGTGTAGGCATTGTATTACATGATAAACGTGTTTCTATGACTTTCTGGAGAAAGCAAAACTCTAGGGTTAGGTAAGGGGAGGTGTCAAATAGCAGGAGAAAAGACGAGTCTAAAATAAGAAGACGCATGTACGAAACAATTTAAAAAAGGCAACTCCAAAGAAAAATTGGTGCAAGACTTCAACAGAGACCATCCAGATGGTGAATAAGACATAAAAGGTGCTCAAACTCATCGGTGTGTGTGGGGGGGGCTGCCAATTAAAACCATAAGGAGATCTGGGGGTGATGGAAATAAATGCCCATAAAAAATGGGCAAATGATGTGAACTGACATTTCACCTCTAGGAAGATGGATAAAAAGCGAATCAGCTGCTCCACAGCTTGACTGTGGTTATAAGGGTGTGGGAATTTGTCAAAACTCACTCATAAAATGGGTGTACTTTATTGGAAGTTATACCTCAACAAAGCTGACTACAAAATAAACAAAATGGTTAGGAGATACCACTGCTCATTCACCCGAGTGTCAAAAACAGAAAAGAATGACAGTGCTAGGTCTACCGCCGGGGAGTGCAAACTGGTACAGCTGCTTTGGGCAGCTGCAGTGTCGTCTAAGCGGAGCTTGTGCCCACCTGTGAGCCAGCCCCGGCCCTCCGGGTGTGAACCCAGATATTCGCACAAAGGCCACGCACAACAGTGGACACAACAGCACCATCTGCAACAGTTGCAAGCTGGAAACCCAAGTGTCCATCAGCAACAGAAAGGCTGGAGAAGTCAAGGCTGGTAAATTCAAATGCTGAACAGCAGAGCGCATCGTGGAAGGTCAAGCCCCTGCTCCGCGCAGCAAGAGTGGAGCTCCCGGACTCAGCGCTGAGCGCAAGAAACCAGACACGGAAGAACACACTGTGGGATCTCACCGCTAGAAAGTTCGAAAACAGGCAGAAAGACTCTGGGCTGATACAAGTCAGGATGGGGGCCCACACTTAGGATCTGGGCCCTTTTCTGCATGTGTATTATAATTCCAGAAAACTGACTTTAAAAAGCGGTCTAAACTAATGATGTCAAAATTATGAAGTCATCAGCATCAAGATGAAGCCAGTCGAGTATTCAGAGCCGTGAGAGGAGAGCTTGCGGACATTAGGGCAGGGAGAGAAGTACCTCAAGAGGCCGGGGGAAGGAGGGCCAGCAAGGAAGACAGGAGAGGCCAGGGGAGCCACCGCGGGGGACGAGCGCCTGGTCAGGCTGCGACAGAGACGGAGGACACATATCTGTGCACCGGGGGCGGCACAGCAGAGGCTGCTGGGCTTGGAGCAGGGGAGGGCGGACGGGCCGTGAAGGGGTGAGGCACAAAGCAGACAGCAGTGTGGCAACGGAGGGTCTAGGGCCCCAGGTGGTGGCAGGAGGACACGTGTGCGCTCAGAGATGGGAGTCCCTGGAGCATGTCCACGTACAGAGAGAAGTGAGGAATACAGTTCTGAATGGGCCCTGTGGGAGGGAGGCAGCCTCTGCCATGATGAAGGGGGAGGAGACGGGGCAGGAAGACCCAGTGCTGAATGAACCCACCACCCGCTGGAGAGTAAAACAGGCTGCAGAAGGACAGAGGGGCCTTAACCCTACCATGTCTGCTCCTCATCTGAGAGCAGCCAACTGGAGGACAGGGAGCCGGTGTGGGCTGGTCGCACAGCGCTGGGAAGCCCTCAACTAACAGCCACTCCCACTGCGGGCAAGGCCACCGCGATGAGGACTCACCAGGGTGGCTCCAGGTCAGCAGGCCCTGAGCCAGCAAGCCTGGAGCCTTCAGTCGTCCGGGACCCACTGAGCCCAGCCTCCCCGCCCCTCCCCCCACCCCCGGTGTAGGCGACACCCCACTACCTGCTTGGAGTAGACCTTGAGGAGCTTGTTGACCGGTGTGCCCTCGTTGTTCCCGTCGAACTCCAGCCACAGGACAGACTCCTCCTCCTCGGGGGAGGTGTGGTCCCACGACAGCTCCTGGAAGCGCAGGCCCAGCAGGACGTGCTGGCCGGCGGGAGACACACAGCTAGGACACCCCTGGGCAGAGACCTACTCCCCACCTCACCCTGCTTAGGTGCCACCAGGAGGGGCTGAGTCTCAATTCGTGAGAGTTTCTCTAAGGAAAGGAGTCCCTGTTTTCATCAGACCCTCGAAGGGGGCTGGAGTCCAGGGGGGATAAGGAACCCTAACCCACAGCACTTGTCGCCAGCAGGTCAGGGCCCTGACAGCTGGAGCAGTCAGGTGGGGAGGGGAGACCTTTCCCAGGCCCAGCTGGGCCCAGGCAAGTTGGGGCACTGATGCCCTGGGATCCCTCTCTGGGCACAACCAGAGGTCACTCAAAACTGTTCTGCTGGCTTGGGAGGCATCCCTGTGCAGGGCAGCTGCAGACACCTCCTTCAACACGGGCCACCAGGAGACAGGCAGCGGCAAATGCAGGGAGAAGCGGGACTCCGCCAGGAGGGCTCCTGGAAAACCAGCAGCTGTGGTCTCCAGCCACTCGCCGGGCAGGAGAGTCGGGCCCTGCCAGTCTCTCCAGTCAGGTGTTAATCCCAGCCGCAGCCCCCTGCCCAGCACACTGGGCAGAAAAGCCCCCAGGATGACAGCAAGAGCCCCAGGGACATCCAAGGGAGGGAGGGGCCCTCTCAGACAGGCCACCCACACTGCCCCCAAGCCAACCACAGGCCCAGGGGAACCAGGAAGGCCTGGGTCAGGACCCCGCTCCCTTCATCGCCGAGACCGCCCCAGGAGAAGCTGGAGGTACCTTCTCCCTGCTGTCAATGACATGTACGCCCTCTAGATTGATGGCCACAGTCACTGGCTTTCGTCCACTCCTGTGCAAAAAGCCCTGGGCCGGCTTATCAACCTCACCGTGGAAGAAGGCGCACCTGTGGAGGGGAGCTGGTGTCAGCCTGTTCCCTCCAAGACCAAGAATAGAGGCCCAGGGTCTCAGGTCACCCACCAGCAGATGCTCTGGCCAGGCACTGCCCGGGTACCTAAGAAGCTTAGCTGTTTGGGTGACTGAAGGTTAAATGAAAACCCACCCCAGGGGAGGGAGAAACCGAGGGGGGTGAGATGGAGGCTTCTTGGGGATGGTGGCATCTAAGCTGGTTGTGTAGGACAGGAAGGTTTGACCAGACAGGAGGAGGAACTAACTGGGTGGCAGAGAAGGGGGCACCACAGGCAGAGGGAAGAGCGTGAACCAGGTGTGGACAGAGCAAGTGAGGTTCAGGAAACAGCCAGGAGCCCAAGGACTCAGAAGTTGAGGCTGCTGGAGGTGGCCAGGCCACAGGGCTGAGACAGCCCCACTGCCTACTGTCCACCAGCCCAAGACCCTTCAGCAGCAGAGTGGGATAAAGGCTACACCTGCGTGAGGCCCACGAGGGTGCAGGAGCTGCCCAGGGAGGCAGCTCCGGGGCTTGGCACCAAGAAGGGGAAAGGGTGCAGTGGCCTTAGGACACCAACCCACTGAGCTGTCACCTCCTCCCTGCTGTCTGGCCAGCTCCTCTCCCCTCCTATGGCTGCTCCAGACTCTTGTCCCTTGGCCCTGTCGAAGCCAGAGCCCTAGTTAACCCTGCTCTCTGGCTGCCTGCACCCCACACAACAGGACGGGACACAGCCACGTTCAATTCCTGCGAGCAGCCTGGATTGCTGCCCTGCAGTCCCACGCCTGTCCCCACTCCTGTCTGCACAATCAGTTGATGGCTGGGACTCCTACTTTACTGAGGAAACGGAAGCAACCAAAAGAGGGGCCACTCGGGGCCAGCCGAGTGGCTCAGTTGGTTAAGAGCGTGCCCAAGAGTGCGAGCGCTGAGCAACAGGGTCGCTGGTTCGATTCCCACATGAGCCAGTGACACTGTGCCCGAGCTGAGCTGCCGCTGAGCTGCCAACAGGTGGCAGAATGGCTCAGCTGGTGAGAGCACGTGCACCTAACAAGGTTGCTGGTTTGAATGGTGGGCTACGTCCGACACCTGCAACTAAGATTGAACTCGGCACCTTGAGCTGAGCTGGCGCCTGGCTGGCTCAGGGGATAGAGCATGTGCTCTTAACAACAAGGCTGCTGGTTCGACTCCCACATGGGATGGTGGCTACGCCCACCTGCAACTACGACTGAACTCGGGACCTTGAGCTGAGCTGCCACCCAGATGGCTCAGTGGATAGAGCTTGCGCTCTTAACAATGAGGCTGCTGGTTCGACTCCTGCATGGGATGGTGGCTATGCCCACCCACAACCAATAAAACACAACACCTTGAGCTGAGCAGAGCGACTGGACTTGGAACTGGGCTTGCTGAGCCCTCCACAACTAAGATTGAAGGACACCAACTTGGCTGTTCCCCTTCCCCAGGGCTGTGGCTGCTCACCCGTAAAAGGGCAGCTCGTGGCACTTGAAGAGGTAGGCGCGGTAGTGGGTCCTCAGGGAGGCCTCCCGCTCACTGTCACTGCTGACCACTTCCTTCACCTTGCGGTAGGCGTTGAGCAGGCCCTGCTCGTCTGTCCCAGCCTTGGCTGCCCGGCCCCGAAGGGCAGCAAAGAGCCGGTGGCCCCGCTTACACAGGTGGGCAGGGAGGAAGGAGTCCAGCTTCTCCCTATGGAGCAAGGAAGATAGGTGTCCGGCCTGAGGGACTCTGTGGCTGGGGGCTGGCCAGAGGTGCCAATGTCCTCAGGGTCCGGGCATGCTCACGGGGGAAGGCAGGGGAACTCTGGACACAGCCCGCCAGAGATCCCACTACGGCCATCCCAGCAGCAGGCCAGGTGGGTGAGAGGCCTGAAGGAAAGGTTGGGAGATGCGGGGAGAGAAGAGCCAAAACCAGGCCCGCCCCAGAACCAGGCTGTGGCTGGAGGGTTTCAGAGCAACCTCTGTGTCACCGAGCCAGGGAGGTTTGGATTTCTGAAGTAGTGGGACTTTTACATTAAAAAATGGTGCAAGTGGGGCTGGCTGAGTGTCGCGTTGGTGAAGAGTTGGCTTGGGACGCCAACTCTGAGCAGCAGGGCCCAGGGTTCGGATCCCACATTAGGACCAGTAACGTTGTACCCTCTACAGCTAAGATGGTGAACAACAGCTCGACCTAGAGTTGGGCTGCTGTTGAGTCGCTGGCTACGGCATAGGCTGCAGTGAAGCTGCAGTGGGCTGCCATAAACTACTGTGAGTGGCCGGCAGCCGGCGTGAGTGGCCAGCAGCTGGCATGAGCTGCCAAGAGCTGCCATGAGCAACCGCCTAGTGGCCGGCGATCGATCCGCCTCAGCTGGGAAGAGCGCAATGATAATACCAACATGGGCCAGTGAAGTGACGTCCTCCACAACTACACTGAAGAACAAAAGGACAGCAACCTGTCTGTTCCCCTTCCCCGATTCCCCAATAAAATCTTAAAAAAAAAAAAAGGTGCAAGCGACCCAGAGCTATCTATGTTTTGTTCTGCCAAATAGGGATGTATAAAAGCACCAACCCCCAATGCATTGGCACAGGTTCATGAAGAAAAGGGCATTTTCAATTGCACATACGCAGCGCGGGCAAGACCCTGGTGTGACTACACTGTCCTTCTCATCCTGTGTAGCCCATTGTTATGTGGGCCATGTCCTGGCCGTTCCAGATAAGCCACAGCTGGACCTGAGTCTTTCAGCATGAGTGCCCTTGCAAAGCCTTGGCTTCTCCGCACATAAAATAACACTGATGCCTACTTGTACGGAAGGGCGCTGGCATGTGCCTGGCCTGCAACTGGTGCAGAGTAAATATCACTGCAGTTGTCCCTGCTGGGCCCAACTGCAGGGCGGCATGAGAAGGGGTCTCCAGGGAGCTGCCCACACTTCCCAGGGCTGCCGTGGGCATTTTCATCATTTGTCTCCCCACAAAGTCCCTGACTATGACTGCAGTTAAACAAGCCCAGCTCCCTCCTGACCTCAAATGGAGGCTGTACTCCAGCCTCATGCACATGTGGGGCTCCTTGGGCTGGGGGCTCTGCTTGTGGATGTCACTTCACCCAAGTCTCCCACTTTTCAGGCCCCTGAGCCCAGGGCAGATGAGGAAAAGGTGGCTCAGAGGGGTTGGATGATTCGTGACTAAGGCGACCTGACTCCAGGACCTTGCACGACCTAAGAGCACTTGTAAGGAGGATCCTGGGGCAACCCTCCCCACCCTGCACCCCTGTCTCAGGTCATGCTGTCACCTCAGGGTGCAAGCAGTGGGCTGGCCAGGCTGGTAGGGCCCAAGCTGCACACGGCACACCAGGGCGCCCAGGGCCTCGCAGTCCTCCAGGTCACATGGGTACCGTGCAGCCAGCACGTTGCCCTTGGCCTCCTCATAGAGCAGACGCAGGACCTCCTCGTCATGGATCTGTGTGGCAGGAAAAGGCTGCTCAGCTGGCTCACGGCACCCGTGTCCACGGGTCTAGGGACAGGGAGGCTAGACACAGGGCACCCACCCTGGGTGGTGCTGCCTGGGGCTCGCTGTCTTACCTGGAGCTCCCGCCGCTTTGGGAAAAACACGTTCCTTCGGAACTGCAGGGAAGGCTCATCTGGGGGAAGAGGTGGGGGTCACTGCTTGGCCACCCCACCCAGCCCTGCCCAGCTCTCCCGACTGGCCCAGTCCCCAGTCCTCCGGCTCATGCAGCGTAACTGAGAATACCCAAGGGCTGTCCAGGGCGTGGAGTGCGTGGCTTATCTCAATATGCTCACTGCTTCCCCCCGTGCACCATCTCCTGGCCTCCTCCCAGGGACCCCAACCTCTCCTGCCAGGAGAGGCTGATGGAGTCTGGGGGAGATGCTGGTCCTGCCACTCAGCCAAGGCAGCTCCACCTGCCACCGGAGACCTGGCCGGGCTGGGAGTCAGTGCTCCAGACCCAGGTGGGCCGAGACGTGGACGCGCGGTAACACACTGACCTGTGGCCACATCATCGTCCGGGGCATCGGTGAAGCGCAGCAGCAGTTCCGGCCACTGGCGGCCCAGCTTGTAGGGCTGGTGCTTGGGCTTCAGCTGCACCTCTGTAGGACAGGAGGGGAAGCGGCTCATGTGACAACTGTCACCAGCCACCAACAGCAACATGGTGGCAGTCATGGCCAATACCAACTGAGTGGGTACACACACACTCTGCAATGCCCCATCCTCATTTCACCCAGAAAAAATGGGGCTCAGAGATGTTGTTTGTCCAAATTTACACAGCAGGTGAGGGGGGTCAGGCTCAGGCACAGCCAGCCTCTGACTGTTCTCTACAGTGCCCAGGGTGGGCTGGAGCCGAGAGGCTGTGGCAGAGGGACGGTGCGGGGAGAGGGAGGGGAACAGATGGAGCCAGCACTGTCTTAGGAAGCAGAGCCCGAAGCTGGTAGCTGAGGGGCTGCCCTCCCCATCCCTTGCCAGCCCCCACCTCCAGCATCTCCCCTGGGAGCTCCAGCTGACCTTCCACCCCGCAAGCTCCTGGCCTCCATGGCCCCCAGGCACCATGCATCATGCCATCCGGCTCCCCACCTCACTCCTGTCTCTTGCTCCCTCCCACTCGCTCCTGCTACTCCAGCTTTCTTCAATCATTTGAACATTCCCAGCCTGTTTGTGCCTTGGGGTGTTTGCACTTGCTGTTCCTCCTGCCTCAGACACCCTTCCCCCACATCGTCACATGGCTGGTTGGCTCCGGTAGCAAGTCAAGTGTCACCTTCCCTAGACTCTTAACTAAGGCTGCCCCTCCCTGCCACCTATCACACCAACTGAACCCCATTTGGTTGCCTTCACAGTGGTTACCACTATCTGACATGACCTCACTGTGCCCCCACTAACCAGTGAGTGCCACGTGGGCAGGAGCGCCTCTGTCCGGTTCACTGCTGTACCCCTGGCCCGCCATGCACCCTCACCATGGGTGGACCTCTCAACTCCAGACTGTCAGCTGGCCCCAGGGTTCAACATCCTGGACAGGAATGACAAAACAGTGTCATCTCATGCCCCGGAGCCCCATGGCTTTTGAGAAGTCTGAGGCCATTTCCAAGACCATCTGGTGATGAATAAGGATGGCTGTCGGGGTACAGGTAGGGCAATATACACGCCATCAACTAGTTACCCCTGCCTTCTAAACGCCCTGCTGACCCTCATCCCCCACTTCACTGCTGCCACCAGAGGGCCAGGGGCCTCGTCCGGCCAGCCTGATGCCAATGGTCCTCGTCTCTGTTCTTTGGGCTTCCATCTGGACCCTGACCCTCACCGAGCACAGCAGCCACAGCCTCCAAACTGGCCTCCCTCCCGTGTACAGCCTCTTCCACTCACCCCTACACTCAGCTTCTTCACCCCTGCACTCAGCTTCTTCACAGCCCTTTCTTCTCCCACCCGTCTCTGAGCCACGGCCCTCATTTCCAACCTAGATCCTTAGCCACACCTGTCTGTAACCACTGCTGCCCTACCAAGCCCTAGGAGAGGAAGGTGCCAAGTGCAGCAGTGTCCTCTCCCCTCCCTCCAGGAAGGGCTCCCTCATCAACCCCACCCCCTCGGTGGCTCGACGGGGTCCTCCAAGCACCTGCTCAATCTGGACATTCACTGAAGCCCGAAGAGGGACAGTGCCTGCCTGAGGCCACCAGAGTTAGTGGCTAAGCCGAAAGAGCTCCACCTGCCAAGCCCCCTGCCCCACACTTGAGACTGCGAGTTCTGAGGGCAGGAACACTTTCGATACTGCTCCCTACTGTATCCCCAGCAACTAGACCACTGCCCGGAACAAGCAGGGGGCTCCGCACATACTCACTTGTGCGATGAAGGAGGCAGCTGACTAGCTGGGACCCCTGGACACGCCGGGGGAGGGGAGACCTGGGGCAAGAATGCCCTTCCTTCCGCCCAGCCCTAACCAGCCTTAAGCCCCAAGCCCCAGCAGCTCAAAGGATTTTCATTAACAGAATGGGATGACGCTGACCCTGTCGTCCCACACACTTCCAGATGGGGCCTTCCTGCCTGGTCACCACACGAGAGTGACAGTCCCTGGAGCCCCGTTGCATGCAGACTGACGATAGCATTGAGAAGGCCAAGCCCTTCCTAACATCCAGCTTGAGAGTGGACCAGTAGACAGCACCCCCTCTCTGCCTCACAGCCCTGGGGCAACTGTCAGTACTTCACCCATTCAGTGGGTTGGGGGGCGCTAAGGGTGCTGAGGGGCCCGAGTCAAAGCTGAAGTGCCCTTTCGGCTTTCCTGAACCCAGCCTGGGAACAAACTGACTTTGTGCTGGGGCCTCAGCCACCCTCCTCCTGAATGGGGCAGGGCCCCAGGGCGACCAGGTCGGCAGGGCCACACAGGCAGCCCATTCACGTTCTTGAGGGGGGAGCAGGCATGTGATGAGGAGGGAGCGGGGGCGAAGAAGGCGGGAGGAAACAAGCTGTCCAGCGGCAGGGACAGCAAGCCTGGCAGGGCCACATGGAGCTGCCACCCCCAGTTTTTCAAAGACACCAGTCAAGGGGCCCACAGTCCTGATGGACAGCCTGGAGGGTGAAGGAGGGGCAGCTGAGCTGGGTGGGGAGCAGCCAGAGGAGACTGGTCGGCAGGAAGAGGCAGGAAGAGGGTGGGCGAGCGCAGCAGCTGGGCAGGAAGTTCCAACTGGCGGGAGGGGGGTTGGTGGGGACAGGCACTCCCTCTCCCATCAAGCCAGCTGGTATCCTCCCTCCAGGGTAGAGGCACAAACCCAGATCACTAGGGGTCCCAGGGACCAGCCATCTCCTTCCTGCCCCTGCTCCTCTACAAGGAAGGAGAAAGTTTACGCTCATAAAACATGTCTGGCTCTGGCACCGGTTGGGGCATCCTCGCCCCTGACCCCGCCTCCCTGTTCAAGCCAGCAGTCTGGAGGCCCAATGCAGAGGCCCCAGGAAGCTCCCAGCCCGCCCAGTCCCCGGCATGAGGGGCTGGAGAGCCACCAGCCCCACTCCTGCTCCATCCCTGCCTTGGGATCTCAGCCTGAACGGGCAGGACCTGGAAGGTCGAAGGCCAGAAACCAGGCAGGGCTGGAGGCCCCCTTGCAGAGCAGTTGGGTTCCCACTCATCCTGCCCTCCCCACCCTCAGGAAAAGCCTCATCTTCAGGAGTGGCTGCTTCCTGGGCTGGGTCCCATCTTCCTCCCTACTCTCAAGGAGCAGAATGCAGTTCAGAGGCCAGCTGGGGGCCACCCTGGCTTCTGTTCTGATCTCAGTCCTACCACTCATTGGTCCTACCACTCCAAACCTCAATTTCGTCACCTACAAGACAGGGCTGGGCCATGAGGATACGGAGAAATTCTGGTCACAAAATGCCAGCTCAGGCTGTGGCACAGACCATGGGCTCATTGTCTGCAGGTCCCTTCCCTCCCTGTCCCCCAGTCCTGCTCCTCCTGATGCCCCAGGCTCCTTACTGCTAAGGTTGATGGGCAGGCTCAGCTTCTCCTCTGCCACCAGCAGAAAGAAAGGAGGTGGGGGCACGGGAGTCAGGAGTCCTCTTAGGGCTCTGGGTCCTCAAAAGTGTGAACAGCTCCAGGGCACACACAAGTCCCACCCTCCCCTGGTGTACAGCGGCCACAGGCTCTGGAAGCTGCGCCTCCTCCTCCTCACTGGTCAGCACCCTTCCCGCCTGGGCTTCTCAGGAACAAGCCTTACCCAGCAGAGGGGAGACAAGCCAGAGCGCGAAGGCATCCAGGGCGCTATCTGGGAGCTGCAGGACCTCCCGGATGGCACGGTGCAGCTCGTGGGCACTCAGGGATGGCAGGTTCTCCACAGCCAGGGGTACCACCGTGTCATCCGCTAGATATACCAGCACGTCAGCTGCTGCAATGGAAGCCAGGCAGGGTCAGCTGGGCTCACTGCCCAGGCACCCCTGCTGGGGCTGGAGCCCCCACACTATACCCCTTGAGGTAACCAAGGCTACATTCCAGAGGCAGAGCCCCAGCATTCCCAAAGGACACTGGGAAGAGTGCCACCTGTTAGGACTTACTCGAAACCCTCAAACAACCCATCAACCCTAACCCAGGGACCAGCCTAGCCCCACCCAAACCCCCAAAGGTACAAATTAAGGCTGGCCACTGCACACTCCCCTAGCAGTCCCAGGGGTTCTGCTGTGCTTCCTTTCTGAAGAACATTCCACGGGGGGACAGAGGCAGAGAGGCTGAACCCACCGTAAGGTTACAGCAATCAGTGTATCAGGCTGGGAGAGGGGAGAGGGGGTGACCCACTGCCATCTTTAGGCAAGTTGCTGTCTCTCTCTGGCCCTGGCTAAGATGGGAACTGAGGGTTCAAGTCCACCCCAGGGTAAATCAAGTTCCAGGGCTCCGCTTCCTTAGGACTTTTCAAGCCTCAGGACTCAATACCAACCATGGTCTGTCAGGACAGTCTTAAATAGGCCAGGGAAAGTACATAAGGCATTCCCTTATGAAAACCTATGGGATTCCTATTTGGAGCCCAGAGCCAAAGGGATACCTTTGGAAGAGCAACCAGATTCAAATGTCCACCCTGGCATTGCAGGTACTGTAAAGGGGCACTGAGCTTAGAGGCCAATACACTCGGGTTCCAATCCTCGCCTGGCTCCCAGCTAGCTGGCGGACCTCAGCAAATCAGTGTGCGTATCAGCTGCCTCTCCTACAAAACAGGGCTGATACCCCTCTCTTAAAGAGTGGCTGTGAGTTAAATGAGGTGAAGCCGGTGAAAGGCAAGGGCAGTTTATCATTAATACAAGTGAAGATGCTTTTTGGATCCCCAGTCTGTTCCCCAACAGCTACTTCCTTGACAGATCATAAAATAATCACCAGGAGGCTGAGATTTGAACCCACTTTTCAGCAGGGAAAATCAAGGCACTGAAAGCTACAGTATCCTGTGACTTAAACTCTCCAGGGCCCAATTTCCTCCCCATAAAATGAAGGTAACAATCCCTGCTTTCAAAAAGCTGTTTGTGAGAAAGAAAGTCAACAAAGAAAGTGAATGTGTCACTTTTCATTCATGAGATTTCTTCTGAATTTCACAGCTACGTGCGACATGCTCATTTTATAGATGAGGAAAGGAAGATTTAAGAAGAATATCCAACTTAGCTAGTAGCCTAGTGACAGAGCCCTGGTCCTCTGACTTCCGTCACTTTTCCATACCTCAACATACCTTATTTGTCAATTAACATGTACGATTCTCTTTAATGAACGAAATGACAAGCCAGGGCCACTTCCCCAGGGCTGGGGCTCCAGGAGGGTATAGTGGGGAGAAGACGGGGATAAGGACCCACCTCGGGCTCCCACGGAGGACACGCTGCTTCGATGGGACCGCTCAGCGGGCTGCTCAGTGCTACCTTCTGTCCCGTCCATCTGCAGAGGGAAAGAGAAAGAGCAGTTACTGGGGAGACCAGGGATGGAGGGTTGGGGAGCCCAAGCTCTCATTGAGGAAGGGAGGGGTTCCGAGGTGATCTGTGAAAGTTAACAACGGTGGCTAATGGCACTGATGTTCAGACTAATGCGGTGAGGGTGGAAGGGTGTCCTCAGTCAACTCGAGGTCATGGGAGGGGTCAGGAGCGGGTTCGAAGCCCAGCTAGCCGGGATGCCCAGGCAGGGCACGGAGCAACGCCGTTGGGGCGGGGGCCCGCGCACAGAGTAGCAGCGCTCTCACCTCGCAGGGACGCAGCGGCCGCCGCCTCAGCCCAGGGTGCTGCCCTGACTGCGACCCCCAACTCCAGCTCGGGCTCTGCCGCGGGCCGGGACCTCGGTTCCCGCTCGGACCTCGGCTCCCGCTCGGGGTCCAGCTCCCGCTCGGGGTCCAGCTCCCGCTCGGGGTCCAGCTCCCGCTCGGGGTCCAGCTCCCGAGGTTGCGACACGGAAGCAGGGGAGGAGGAAACGCAGGGCGAAGGGCCCCGCCTCCCCGACCCGCGGGAGCCAATCCGAGCCCGGGGCTGCCGCGCACGCTCCCTGCTCTGAGTCCGCGCGCTCACGCCCCCCGACCGCGGACCCGCGCATGCCCGGTCAAGCTACATGCCTCTCTTGCTCTGGGATGGCAGCGCTGTGAGCTAGCCTGGCCATCAACCCAAGTGACCAAGGGCGAGTGACCCCCCACACCGATGGCCCGTAACAGTTTGTGGAAGATTCAAGGCAACCAGGCATCCGGGCGCTAGCTCTGGCACTCACATGAGACTTTGGGCTGGTCCCCTTACCTGTAAAAGAGAGACACTTCCTGGGACAGGTACGGGATCTACACTGCACTGGGAATTGGGAAAAGGTGCCGCAGGCAGCGGCTTGTACTGCAGCGCCCCTGGGGTGTGAGGGGTGATGGATGGGCCATTCTTTGTGGTCAGGAGACTGGGTCTCTGTCCTGACTTATCCTGGACAAGCCCCTTCCCCTCCTGGCCTGTTTCCTTATCTAAAATTAGGAGGTTGGACTCCATGACCTCCAAGGACCCTCATTATATGCGATACCCAGGCTGGACACACTTGTTTTTTCAGGGAGCAGTCACATGAGCCCTTGCTATTGTAGACACGCAGCCTCAAAGACCTTGAGCCGTTCCCAGACTGGGAAGCGACATTGGGTGGGGCCTAGAAGAGGCAGGTGTGAAACCACCTATCCCCAGGGTCACGTCACCAACATGTCCTGGCAACAACAGCATATGTGTACCTGAGGTGTGGATCTCAGGGAGAAAAACAGGTCCATGGGATGCCTACCTGAGCTTAAGGAACCAGAGGTTGTTCCAAGTGACAACAATGAACTCGGTGATCAGCAGGAACAGGGAAGTGGGCTCACCCTGCCCTGATTCCCAGCGTTGGAAGGCAGCTCCAGCTTCTTTCTGATCCAGTCCAAGTTTCCTCTGTGAATTTGAAACAGCTTAGCCTGCCTTCCAGGACCCCATTCCGCCCCTGCCCCCCGCCCATATTGAGACCATTACAACATGTCTTCCTTATCAGCATGACCTGAGAACTCAAGGAAGTCCAGATGTGAGCCAGAGAGGAATGTGCAGTTGGAGCAGGCATCTCCCTCCTGGTTCTCAGCTCAGGGACCCTCAGACCAGGACACAATGGCTCAGTGGCCTCCTTAAACCCACTGGAGTGCAGTGGGAACATAGTTCAGTGTTGTTGAGTAGTTATTGGATGGGGAGCCTGGGCTAGGGTGGGGGATGGAGACCTGGGTGAGACACAGTTTAATTGGGGAGTGGAGGGAGAGAGAACCCCAGGAGTAATTCATGTTTAAAACTACATAAGAGCTGGCCAAGTGGCTCATTGGTTAAGAGTTGGCTTGGGAGCACAGGCTCTGAGCAGCAGGGCCGCCGGTTCGGATCCCACATGGGCCAGTGACGCTGCGCCCCCTACAGCTAAGATTGTGAACAACAGCTCCACCTGGAGCTGGACTGCCATAAGTAGCCGGCGACAGCATAGGCTGCAGTGGGGCTGCAGTAGGCTGCCATGAGCTACCATGAGTGGCTGGCAGCCAGCGTGAGCGTCTGGCAGCCGGCGTGAGCTGCCGTGAGCGGCCGTCCAATGGCCAGCGACCAAACTGCCTCAGCCAGGAAGAACGCAATGATCACAATACCAACATGGGCCAGTGAAGCGACGTCCGTCCTCCACAACTAGACTGAAGAACAAAAAAAGGACAGCAACTTGTCTGTTCCCCGTCCCTGATTTCCCCAACTCCATACCCTCCCCAAATTCTTCAATAAAATCTTAAAAACAAAAAAAACTACATAAGAAAGGGCCGGTCCAGTGGCTTAGTTGGTTAAGAGCATGAGCTCTGAGCAACAAGGTCTCTGGTTTGATTCCTACATGGGCCAGTGAGCTGCGCCCAAGCTGAGCTGCCAACAGGTGGCAGGATGGCTCAGCTGGTGAGAGCACGTGCTCCTAACAAGGTTGCCGGCTCAAGTCCTGCATAGGATGGTGGGCTATGCCCACCCGCAACTAAGATTGAACACAGCACCTTAAGCTGAGCGGCCTCCAGCTGCCGAAAGGTGGCCAGATGGCGAATAGACTTGGAGCTGAGCTAGCTGCGCCCTCTACAACTAAGATTGAAGGACAACAGCTTGGCTGTTCCCCTTCCCCAATTCCGCAACACTGTTCCCCTTCCCCAATTCCCCAATAAAATCTTACAAAAAAACAAAAAAAACTACATAATATGACAGAATTGCCTTAAGAGCTATAAAATGACACAAGCAAGAAAAAAAGGGTCCTCAATTCCTGAGCATCTACCACGTGCTAGGCCCTTTCCATGTTTCCTCAGGTCATCCTCATGGACCCTGGGAGTGGAATTAAGAGTAATAGTAGCTGCCATTTGTGGAGCATGTGCAATGTACCAGACCTCTTTTTTTTTTTTTAAGACTTTATTGGGGAATTGGGGGAGGGGAACAGACAAGCTGCTGTCCCCCGTTCCCCAGTCCAGTTGTGGAGGACGCCGCCCCACCAGCCCGTATTGGTACTATCATTGCGCTCCTCCCCGGTGAGGCAGTTGCTCACCGCCACCAAACAGACACTCAGGGTGGGCCACGGCAGCCCACGCAGGCCATCAGTCGCCCACGCTGGCTGCCAGCCACTCACGGCAGCCCATGACAGCCCACTACAGCAGGGGCCGCAGCCCGAGACTCATGGCAGCCCAGCTCCAGGTCGAGCCACTGTTCACTATCCCAGCTGCAGAGGGCGCAGCGTCACTGGCCCTCATATGTGGGATCCAAACTGGGGCTCCGCTGCCCAGAGCCGGTGTCCCAAGCCAGCTCCCAACTAACGCGCCACTCAGCCAGCCCCAGACCCATTTCTAAGAGCTTTAATTCTTATAACACACTAAAGTTGAGTATTCTATCTCCATTTCATGACAAGAAAACAGGATCAGAAAAGTTCAATAACAAAGCAGAGGTCTGCCAGTTTGTGTGCTGGCTCCAGCGAGGAGGACCACTGGAAGAGATTCCTGAAGGCATTCCAGGTAGCGAAGTGTTTAGGACAGCAGGGAAGCCCTGGGCAATCAGAGTACAGCAGGTGAGGTTGGGAAGGTGAGGTGAACATCCAGGGTGAGGAGTGTGTGCTGGGTTTGGCAGGCAGTGAGGATGTTGGTTTTAGAGGTCGTGAGCTAGGGAGTGACTGAGCTCAGAGCTCTGCTCTGGCAGGCAGAGGGTTAACCTGGTGGAATTTGGAGGACTGGAAAGGAGCTCTCCAGGGATGGGGCTGTCCTTCTGCAAGGCTCTGAGGAGTGATAATGGGTGGTCATAGTCTCATCTCCCCCCCCCCC